GAGGCCCTCGAGGGTAAGTTGTGTTCTTCCTCTTCACGTTATGTAGTGATGATTATGTGATGACCCTGATGAGACTCTTAACGATGTGATTCCTAGATAGTTTTGTCTGGTTCAATACCGATTAGTCTTTCTAACCTTTCTAGATATGTAACGAAAATATGACTAATAATTATGATTCTGAGGTTTGAAAATCAAGATTAAATCAAGATTAATTCCAACCTATTTTGTTTGACCTTGTTTGTTTGTCTATTTCTTCCGAAGTTCACATCATTAGCCGTATCGATTGTCGTATGTTTGGTTGCTGAATTACTTCTTGGGCAATACTCTTAGCCTGAGATTTGTAAATAAGAGGTTGGGCTGCTTGGGCACCTCTAATTTCTTAAAAGAAATATTCAAATCTTAACTCGATCTCGTTTGATCTTCTGATTCGTGTCGATGCTTAAATTCATGAGGTAGGTAATCTTGATTTCGAAATTCTAGTCATTCTGATGTCTCAATAGTCATTCTTATGTATGGTTCTGATTTTTTTTCGTATCTTTCTTGGTGTTTCCTATTCTATGTACTGGTAGTTCCAAAAGTGTTTCATCTGTTGCTGGAAATTGTTCCTATTTGTTTTTGGCTATTGAATTATCTCCTTTAGGGTTGGAGCCCCTCCCTGCGAGGGTTACACAAGGCGGGTGGTGTGATCCTTGAGAGGGAGGGGAGGTGTTGAGGTTTTGTCTTTTTCTGGGCCACGATGATTTTTGGGTCGGATCAGCTATGGCGGTTGGGGAGAGAGGACAAGGGGTGTTGATGCCAGCATGCTGACATGTTGAAGGGTTGTTTCACTTGGAGGGGGTGGGGCAGGAGGGAAGGGGGATCTTCGGCTCTGCGGGGCATAGTTCAATTTAGGTTGTACTATATGCAGCTGAGGGAGCAGGAGCAGGGTTGTCGACCCCCGGCCCCGGGACCCCACCGGGGTTCCGGGGTTCCGGGGGTCGGCACCCGGGACCCCGGCCCCCTGTATGGGAAAAAAAAAAAAAAAAAAAAATCGAAAAAAACAAACAAACAAAAATCGAAA